GCGTCTATACACTTTGACAGTTGTTGGACGTTTTTCTTAAATAAAATTGTTTTGATATTATACTTGACCTTCACAATTATCGCCCTTACTTTACACTGTTCCTTTTACGCTTTTAATTAAGAAAGAAATCCAAAAACGCAATCTCCAACAATCAACGGACAAAACATAAAAGATTTTCCGCTCACCGAAAATTCCAACAGCCGAAAATCCTCTATATCAACTGTCCACTCTGCCATTAATAAAGATCAGCACACAAGACAATCCCAGTGACCACGCCATGCCTTTATGCCTCAGATGTCGCCATAATTCCCGCGTCCGGCCGAATAAAACAATTTATTTGATAAATGTTATTTTTTTGCAGGGTCAAGTGATGCAGGCCAACCAGAAGGGCGGTGTGATCATGAGCACGTTGGCGTTAGCCCTGCAAGGTGTGACCCGCAGCCAGGCGGGAAATTACTCATGTGTGGCGTCAAACGTCGAAGGAGACGGGGACAGCAACACGGTCGATCTGAAAATTATGTGTAAGTCCATGGAGGTAGTTTTAATCTGACATTAAGGAGGTCCTCTGGGGGATTTATTAATTTTTTGGTCGCAAAACTGAAGATTTATCGCGGTTCGCTCGATTGCGGAATTGCCTTTTAACGGACTCGACATGATAGTTAGTTACGGGCAGCCGAGAATTAAGAGATAAAGTTGAAAAAATTAATATCGGGAGAAAGTTGATTTATATACAGTATTTATTACAATTTGAAAGATAAGTTGTAAGCTATTATAAGCTTATCGCGGTATTAGTTCGCTACAAATATTTTTTTATTTCACTTTTCTGTAGTATTTAGTACTTTACAATGTGCCCTACATGAGAATTAAGCAAATTTAAAATAGTTATACGACTATAATACTGCCCTGTTAAGAATAGAATTCCTAACTAAAAAAATCCCTATTTTGAAATATTCGATGTTTTAGATTTGATTAAGTGCCATCAACTGTAATGACTCATTAAAAATCATATTACAACATAGCAATATATTTTTTGAGTACAAATTTATTTAGTGCGTGCAATTTTATTTCAGAGTATTTGAAATTAGGTTTTTGATATATACGACATTTAGTCCTAACAAGTCATAAAAATAAGGTAAAATAAAAAGTCTAATCTCAAGCAAAGTTAGAGTTTATTAAGATAAACAAAATAACATAAAGTCATAGTTTTTTTAATCATCTAAAGCTCCAGGTTCCATTGAAGTTGGTAAATTATTCCAAAACGTTTGTCTGCTTTTAGGCATATATCTACACAGTTTGAATATAATTAGTTGTTTTCTTTAAGTCGTTATGCCTCTAGGAATGTACTTGGGTGAAGGTTTTGTCATTCCCTGTTTTGCAATCTTTGCATTTAGAATGTTTACTTCACTTTCTATCTCTGAGGTGAAGCTGATTTTGTATAAAAAATTATAATTTACCTATAGAAAAATCTACTTAAACCATTTTATTTAGGTATGGTCTGGGATTAATTTTATTCAGTTTATATGCAAAAGTACCATCTTTCCATTCAAAAAAGTCAGCTTATTCCATAACCATTACTTTAGCATTACTTGTTGCGTTTTCTACTGCATCCGAAAAGTCTTATATTTTACCCATTTGGCCATACCATAAAGGTATGGCCAGGCTCAAAGTACTTAATACTTAATTTTTCAAGTGCGATATCCTCATAGTTTACAATAAACGTAAAAAAGTAAACAAAGCTCAGTTTTTATTTCTTTCTTCTTCTTTAAGTTCCATCTTCTATCGAAGGTTGGAAATCATCATGGCTATGCGGACTCTGTTGACTGCCGCTCTAAAAAGTTCTGCACTACTGCATTCAAACCATTCCCTCAAGTTCTTAAGCCAGGATATTCTTCGTCTTCCCACATTTCGCTTTCCTCGGATTTTGCCCTGCATAATAAGTTGTAATATTGCGTATTTTTGCCCTCTCATCACATGTCCCAAGTACTCAAGTTTTCGTCTTTTAATGGTTAATATTATTTCCGCCTCATTTCCTATCCTTCTAGTTACTTCCATGTTTGACATTCTTTGAATCCATGATATTCGCAGGATTCTTCTGTAACACCAAAATTCAAAGGCGGCCAACTTATTCAGATGAACTTGTTTTAGTGTCCAAGCTTCCAGACCATAAAGAAGAGTAGAGAACACGTAACATCGAAGTATTCTCAGGCGTAGTTCTAACCTTATATCCCGACAACAAAGAAACTTTTTAAGTTTAATTAATGATGTACGTGCTATTTCAATACGTGTCTTAATTTCTTTGGTTTGGTCTACATCTGATGTTTTCCATGTTCCTAAGTATTTATAATTATTAACACTCTCAATTGCAGTATCTTCAATAGTCAAGTGGATATTTGCATGTGCAGATTTAATCATGATCATGCATTTCGTTTTCTTGAAATTTATTTTCAGTCCGTACTCATGACAGCGTTCATTAAGGCGTTGCATTACGTTCTGTAAATCATTGTTGTTATCCGTAATTATTACTGTATGGTCTGCAAAACGTAAGTTATTCAAAACTTCTCCATTGATAGATATACCTTCTATTGAGTCTAAGAGCGCTTCTTGAAATACCGCTTCACTGTAGACATTGAAAAGTAGTGGGGACAGCACGCAACCCTGGCGGACTCCTCTCTGTATTTTGATATTTTCGGTGTACTGTCTGTCAACTCTTACCTTGGCAGTTTGATTCCAATATTAATTAGATATAATTTTCAGATCACGACTGTCAATATTTTTGCTTTTTAATATATCTACAAGCTTTTTATGTTGAACTTTATCAAATGCCTTTTCAAAGTCTACAAAACATAAGTACATATCCTGATTCATGTCCATGCATCTCTGAGCCAGCACATTCAAGCCGAACAAAGCATCTCTTGTACTCATACCATTTCTAAAGCCAAATTGTGTGTCACTAATCTGTGACTCATTAAAGCTATTGTTCTGTGGTCTGAGCAAGTTGTTGAACTTGTTTTTTTGGGAATTGCTACAAAGGTTGATTGCAGCCATTGTCTGGGGATTGTGGCAGTCTGATATATTAGATTAAAGAGTTCAACCATTACATCAATAACATCTTCATCGATGAGTTTTAATAATTCGATGGGCACCTCATCTGGTCCAGTGGCTTTACCCTCTTTTGTCTTTTTGATGGCATAGATGACTTCTTCTCTTAATATTGGTGGTCCAGTATCCTCGGTGATTTCTAATGACAGTTCTTCTCTTTCATCATTAAATAGTTGTTGAGTGTAATTGGTTGTTAGTTTTTATTTAGAGCAGACCAATTGTCAAGCCACATTATTAGAGTCTCAGTGAGACAAAAAAATTATAGAATGTGCTAGCAATATCCGACTTACGCCGTCCGGCTAGTCCTTTGTACCATAAAATTGCAGTTGGTACTCTTGGCCTTCTAGCAGTGACGACAAAACTTTCAATAAAAGCGATTATTCTAGGTGTAAAAATAATCTCCTTAAACATATCCATTCTCGGAAGCATATGAATTAGAATATCACAACAAAATAACACATTTATAATTAATATAATATTTTATTACATTTTGCAAATCCACTGAAACTACCATTGATGTATCGTCCCAGTTACTTTTTGCAGACGAGTCAGTATGATATTCTGATCTGGCAGAAGTGTATTTATTTTGATGTACACCAAAGTTGGTGCATTCCTCAAAATTATCCACCAATGCATCCTTTTTGTGAGACGTGGATTTTGAATGCAAGTCAAATGATTCACACAATCAGCACTCTTTGTGTCCTAATTTGACAAATGAAATATTTAAAGTTGCTACAACTTCTCAATATAATTAAGATTTTCTTAATACGAAAACTTGATTTTGGATATTTTTCGATAAAATTTTGGTACATCATTTTTATTGTAATATCACTAGAGAAGATAACGTCGTTCTGGTGTGTGTTCCCAACGGTAGGGTGTTTCTGTGGGTTTGAAAGATTCTATATATGTTTTTTAAGAATATTTCGATCTATTTTAATTTTTCCTGTCTTTCCTTGTTTATTCCTGTTGACCGTCACTTTTGAATTTGTTTTAGTAAGGGCATCTCTAATAACTCATTTTTCTCATTTTTCTTTTTCTTTTTCTTTTTCTTTTTCTTTTTCTTTTTCTTTTTCTTTTTCTTTTTCTTTTTCTTTTTCTTTTTCTTTTTCTTTTTCTTTTTCTTTTTCTTTTTCTTTTTCTTTTTCTTTTTCTTTTTCTTTTTCTTTTTTCTTTTTCTTTTTCTTTTTCTTTTTCTTTTTCTTTTTCTTTTTCTTTTTCTTTTTCTTTTTCTTTTTCTTTTTCTTTTTCTTTTTCTTTTCTTTTTCTTTTTTTTTCTTTTTCTTTTTCTTTTTCTTTTTCTTTTTCTTTTTCTTTTTCTTTTTCTTTTTCTTTTTCTTTTTCTTTTTCTTTTTTTTTTTTCTTTTTCTTTTTCTTTTTCTTTTCTTTTTCTTTTTCTTTTTCCTTTTCCTTTTCTTTTTATTTTTCTTTTTCATTTTTTTTTCTTTTTCTTTTTCTTTTTATTTTTCTTTTTCTTTTTCTTTTTCTTTTTCTTTTTCTTTTCTTTTTCTTTTTCTTTTTCTTTTTCTTTTTCTTTTTCTTTTTCTTTTTCTTTTTCTTTTTCTTTTTCTTTTTCTTTTTCTTTTTCTTTTTCTTTTTCTTTTTCTTTTTCTTTTTCTTTTTCTTTTTCTTTTTCTTTTTCTTTTTCTTTTTCTTTTTCTTTTTCTTTTTCTTTTTCTTTTTCTTTTTCTTTTTCTTTTTCTTTTTCTTTTTCTTTTTCTTTTTCTTTTTCTTTTTCTTTTTCTTTTTCTTTTTCTTTTTCTTTTTCTTTTTCTTTTTCTTTTTCTTTTTCTTTTTTCTTTTTCTTTTTCTTTTTCATTTTCTTTTTCTTTTTCTTTTTCTTTTTCTTTTTCTTTTTCTTTTTCTTTTTTTTTTTTTTTTTTTTTTTTTCTTTTTCTTTTTCTTTATCTTTTTCTTTTTCTTTTTCTTTTTCTTTTTCTTTTTCTTTTTCTTTTTCTTTTTCTTTTTTTTTTCTTTTTCTTTTTCTTTTTCTTTTTCTTTTTCTTTTTCTTTTTCTTTTTCTTTTTCTTTTTCTTTTTCTTTTTCTTTTTCTTTTTCTTTTTCTTTTTCCTTTTCTTTTGCTTTTTCTTTTTCTTTTTCTTTTTCTTTTTCTTTTTCTTTTTCTTTTTCATTTTCTTTTTCTTTTTCTTTGTCTTTTTCTTTTTCTTTTTCTTTTTCTTTTTCTTTTTCTTTTTCTTTTTTCTTTTTCTTTTTCTTTTTCTTTTTCTTTTTCTTTTTCTTTTTCTTTTTCTTTTTCTTTTTCTTTTTCTTTTTCTTTTTCCTTTTTCTTTTTCTTTTTCTTTTTCTTTTTCTTTTTCTTTTTCTTTTTCTTTTTCTTTTTCTTTTTCTTTTTCTTTTTCTTTTTCTTTTTCTTTTTCTTTTTCTTTTTCTTTTTCTTTTTCTTTTTCTTTTTCTTTTTCTTTTTCTTTTTCTTTTTCTTTTTCTTTTTCTTTTTCTTTTTCTTTTTCTTTTTCTTTTTCTTTTTCTTTTTCGTTTTCTTTTTCTTTTTCTTTTTCATTGCTAGGCTCTCTTTAAATTTCTTTCTTTTACGGATTTCCCCTGTTTTAGTTAAATTGTCTTTTTCCGACCTTTCAACAGATACATATATTATATCTACCAAGATTTCTTGAATAAAAGGGAGACAGTCTTCCTAACTTCCTTACCTTCTTCTTCACCTTTGGATCACCTTTGGAATCAGATTCTTCAGGAACAACCTTTGCAGCTCCCAAAGTAATGTCATTAATAATCTTAATTTTATTTAAACTTTTTCTGGTTAATTTCGGTTCCACAATTTCTTCCGTCTCTGAATCTGACAAAATAAAATCGGAGTCATTACCATGCTGAAGTTTAGGTTTCTTCACGACACATCGTCGTAAACTATGTATTTTCTCCCTTTGTTGGTTATTTAAAATATGCAGCATTTTAAATGCTCTGCTAATTCTGTCCATTGTTACTGATTCAGTTAATAAACTTTAGTGTAAACACACATAAAAACAATATAACAATAAGATTAATACTACTATAAATATTAATAATATTATAAATAACTGAAAATCAGATACGCCGAATAACGCTTTCAACCGTTTAATTTTTAAAGTTTGATGGTATACAAGGCAAATATCAAACACAGTAATTAATTAAATCTTGCCCAAGTACTTTCGATCAATAGATCATTCTCAGGGGCATCTGAAATAAGCCAAGAAACGTTTTTTTTTACAAAAAGGGAAATTAATTCACTTCGATAAAAAACTCGAAGTTTATGGTTGAAAAAAGATTTTATGTGATAAACGTTTATAGACTTACTTTGTCAGTTGTGGCCTATCCGACATGAGCAGAATGTCATACATGTAAATTTGGTCATAACAATACAATACACAAAGACAAACAAACACTTTAAAATTTTATTAAAAATATAGAAGCTACATGTTATATAGAAGCCGGAGACAGAATGGCTCCTGGTCTGGCGGAAATATTGAGATGACATGTGACAAATGACAGCTTGTAAAGGTCGGTTACAATAGATATGTGATCTGCACCTTTCAAAATGGTATAAAACTAAGTATTGACCAAAGGTCTAACTGACACCACTATAGGAAATCAACTGATGAAATATAAAATTATATAGTATATTTTTTTATGTAAATTAAATAATCGAAATCTCACACTCAAACCTGTCTATAATATACAGGATGTTAGTTTGAGAGCAATTGAAGTTGACATAAAGTATGAATATATGAAAAAGACTAAACAATATATTAGACAGTGGATGGTTGACTACAATAAAATGGTCCACCAATCGCTATCAGTACTGTAAAAAAGGAAAAATCTGAATATGCAGTTAAATTACTAAAAGTTAAAATCAAAATTGAAAGCAAAATATATAAATGGGTTATAATCTAAGTAGTTCAGTTGAATCCACAGTCAATAGAAGAACTTTAAAATTAATATCGAAATGCTCAGTGCATGAAGTCTAAACAGTCGAGATGGGTCCTCTACGCGTTGAAGCTGTAATAAAGTTTTTAAATATAGGATTAAATTTAGTACAATTTAAAATAATTTGAGTATTAAGACAGTAAGAATTTTCATTTGTTTCCCTTGTAATCTCCAAATCTTCCAATAAATCCAACTCAAGATAGTTTTTCTTTCTACTAATGTCATATAAGATAGATGAACCAGAATTGATGTTAAAATTGTGGTTGCTGGATACTAAGTGTTGACCAAAACTTGAAGAGTTTGGTCTTTTCAAATGTTCAGAGACTCTAGTGGATAACTTTCTGATGGTTCTACCTACATAAGAGGCATCACAATCATCACATTTTAATTTGTAAATACCACTTTTATCAAGTGTATTCATCCAATCTTTGGTATTGATTAAGAAGGAACCTAAACTGTTATGTGATTTAAAGGAAATTTTGATGTTATCAATTGTAGAAGTAAAAAGTTTAGATATTTTGTTGGAAATGCTACTAATATAAGTGAAGGAGAAATATCTGATGTTATCTGAAGCATTAGGTTGAAAAAACTGTAATGAATATGCAAGCTTTTCTGCAATTTTTAGTTTAGCTCTATTTAGAAGTTTGTATATAATGTTAGGATTATAGCTATTATTAAAAGCAATCTGCTTAAGAGTATTAAGTTCTGTATTAAAATTATCATCAGAAAGAGGAAATTTAAGTAACCGATGAATGTAACTGTTGAAAGCAGCCATTTTATGTTGAGTTTGGTGATTAGACGTTCCATGTATAACGTGATCTGTTTGGGTGGGTTTTCTATAAATGTTGTACTCTAAAGAATCTTTATGACGGGAAATAGTCATATCCAAGAAGTTCAACTTATTGTCAGATTCTGGTTCCAGAGTAAAAGAGATGTTAGGATGGAGGTTATTGAGATCATCCAGAATCTGTAAAGCATCATCTTGGGTTCCCTGTATAAAAGCTATACAATCATCCACATATCTTGACCAGAAAACTATTTTGTTGTTGTTATTAACAAACCTGTTCTAAGCTGTCTAAGAAAATATCAGCTAGAAAAGGTGATAATGGAGATCCCATTGCTAAACCTGTTGGTTGTTTATATATCTTTTGATTGAATTGGAAGAAGTCCTGATCCAGACAGAATTTAAGCATAGTTAATATAGCATCTTTATCCTTTGCTGATATGTTGCAATTGTTTAGAAGGTTGTGTACTAAAGGTAATGTTTCATCTCTTGGTACAGAAGTAAACAAATTGGAAACATCAAAAGAAACTAAATAAAAACCCTCTTCTATCCTATTCTAGATGTTTGATTTCTATCACACATGGCAAATAAGTATTATTAAAACTATAATCTTCACAGCTATCTTATTTCTTCGTAAATATTGTGTGAGTATTGAAAGTGTGAACTTTCTTCTACTGATTCACTTCATTTACTATTTATTTGTCACTGCAACCATTTATCAAGTTAAAACGAGTTTATAGATGATCTAATAATGTAAACTTTCTATAGTACTTCCTACGTTTCTGAGATTTCTCACCTGTTGCCATTAATTATTAGATTTTTCACGTTTAGCTTGCAATGCCTCTCTGTTTCTTTGGATTCCATATATTATGACATATTCTTGTGTTATACATATTTATTTGTATTCGTGTAATTTTGTTCTGATGTTTTTTCCTTCTAGTGAAATTGTTTTTGTATCCGTTTGTTAAATTTCGTCTTTTACCTTTATACATTTGGTTTATATAGTATATTCTTAAAGTTTACATTCGGAAGTTATTCTTTAACCTTAGCACTTGTAATCGACACTACTAAAATTGTAAAATGTATTGCTTTTATTATTGTCTTAATCCTCTTATCTTTTAATCCGAAAAGTTTTTCTTATACTCTTACCAATAATTGTTCCGTTTCGTTTTCTCCCTCTGTCTGTGTAATTGTTAGATTTGCCATAAGGTCTTTTAAACTCCAAAAAAAAGCCATAGTACATGGATAGATTGTCTTATCAAGAACTTCTCCTTAATATCGTTCATTAGCTCGGTATGTATACCCATTTTCAAGTCGTAATTTTGTTTTTTAGCTTTAACTAGTGGATGGTCAATATGTTCGAAACAGAACTGCCTTATATTCTTGGTTATGTAGCACTTCTAGCCACGAAAGCTTGTTTCTTTTGTCTTTCCATGTATCGCATCTCAATAAAGTGTGTAAGACAGTATCCAATATTTTACGGTTTAAAAGTTTGTCATTTTCAGCCTTTTCAAATATGTAGTCAGTCTATTAGCATCTGCGTCAGGAAGTTATTCAAACGCCGATGCATCCAGTCCGTTCATAATAAATATCTTCGTTTCTTCTCTTTTTAACTGTTCTATACATTGTCTTCATTTCTCCTCTAGTATACTATTTCTCTTTCCTCTGCTAGCAGGTCTATCGGTATACATCCGGTGATAACTCCCAGTGTCTCGACAGAGACTGTTTGGTATGCACATGTCAAACTCAATAGACTATTTCTATCTGTTTGGGTGAGCTGCCTTCTGTAGGTCTTTGTTAAAACTGCAGTGCCTCAGAGAGGCTTTACGTAGAGGACGATCAATTGAATAATAGAATGAAGGACTCTCTCCTCTCAGTTTTGAGCTCAATTGCGGATTTCGCAGCAGCTTTTTGAATCACCGTATTTACTTGCTTCCGTTTGGTCTCTTGATGGATTTTCGTCTATCCCGCGCCACTATTAGCATAGCGAAGTCGTCGGCAAATGTGAAAGAAGTTACAACCTGTCCGCATTGTTGGCTCACAACCCCATAATAGGCCAGGTTCTACAGCGTTGGTCCTAGGACCGACCCCTGCGGTACTAATACCGTCACGTCAACCACTACTCGTTTTTCTACCATAACTTTTCTTTCTGACAGAGAGTTCGAGACCAAATTCATGAAGTATCTCGGATACCTCTCTCTGTTAAAAGCTTCATTAATTCTTATATTCTTCATTAATAGAATCCGCCCGCTTGGAAATCCCTCGTGTAATTTACCTATTTACGACATAAGGCAAACAGGTAAATACTTGTCTTCTTCATTTGGGAGTAGCACAAGTCTCGACATTTTTCAAATTGCCAAAAATCGCTAAGATTCAAGTAATGTAATCATGTGTTTCAAAAGCCAGGTCGGCTCCATACAGCCAATACTGCTTGTGGAGGTATCTTGTCGAGTCGTGGAGTCTTTCGCACTCAATGCTTCGTTAAGTTTGTCTATGGTAAAAGGTACAGCTCGTTCAGTTTCGGCGTCTTACTGCGCTGTATACCAATGTCCAGGTGAAAACAGCTCTCGTATAACCTCAAGCTTCCTGTCCAGTTTCATCTCATGCAGGGGGTACAGCTTGAACTAATTCATTCCAATTTTGTACCTTTTACTCCAAACATTCTTATGCAATTTATCACATAATTATCTTTAGTGCCTCTTCTTTTCGGCTCCGATCTTCCTGCTTAGTTCCTTCTTTTGCGTATGTTTTACCATATCTAGTCTGCTAGCTTCATATCATATCGACCCTATACCTCTTGTCCTCGTACCCTACCGTTTAATGGCAATGTATTTCTTCCTCTTATTGGCGATCTCTTTGCACCACCAATAAGGCATTTTTCTTTTTTCATCTACTTTATTAATCCAATTCCTCATTGTTTCTCTTATATCATTTAGTCAAGTCCTTTTGCGATGGCGGTTGGCAACATCTCCTTTTTATCATCCATCTAGGATACTCATCAAACGGTAGCCAGTCCGTTCTATGTTCATATCTCCTTCTTGTTCGGTTCGCTGGTGACTCCACGTTGGTAGTTCTTACTCCGACTCTAATTTTTCTCACCGCATTCTGTGTGCTACAGGTGACATCGATATATGAACGCGAATTTTTCCTTACGAATGTTGGTTGCCGAACATTATTTAAGAGAACTAGATGCATATATCCCATCTATTCCATTTGGCTGTCGTTTTTTCG